AAATACTTTTGGGCCGAAACTGTCAATACCGCTTGCTACATTGCAAATAGAGTTTATGTTAGTCGTAAGAAAACTAGAACTCCTTACGAGCGTTGAAAAAATAGAATTCCCAATATTAGTTATTTTAAAGTTTTCGGTTGCAAATATTTTATTTTTAATACAAAAGATAATTTGGGAAACTTTGATTCAAAATCCGATATTGAAATTTTTCTAGGATATTCATGAACTAGTAAAGCTTATACAGTATTTAACAAAAGAACTTTAGTTATTGAAGAATCCGTGCATGTCACATTTGATGAGACTAACTCACTTGATCGTAAGAAAGATATTGATGATGATGTATTTAGAAGCTCCATTTGAACAAATGAACAAAGGAATGCCAAATGAAGAACTGATGAAGGAGCCTAACATTCAAGAAAATGAAGAAAAACCAACTGAAGCTCAAAGTGATCCATCGCTACCGAAGGAATGGAAGTTTGTTCCATCTCATCCAAAGGAATTAATAATAGGCAATCCATCCAAAGGTATCATCACTAGAATCTATATTAGAAATCACCTTGGTAGCTGTGCATTCATTTCAGAAATTGAAACTAAAAATTTTAAAGAAGTCGAGTTTGATGAATTTTGAATACTAGCAATGAAAGAAGAACTAAATCAATTTGAAAGAAATCGTGTTTGAGATTTAGTTGTTAGACCAAATGATCAAACCGTGATTGGTAAAAAATGGATTTTTAGAAATATACGGGATGAAAATGAGATAATTGTGCATAACAATGCTAGATTAGTGGCCCAATGTTACAATCAAGAAGAAGACATCGATTTTGAAGAAACATTTGCACCGGTAGCTAGAAAATATTTTCCACCCCCCACCCCATGCGCCCTCTTTTTAGGGTTGGTGGTAAAAGCTTTCCTAGTTGGCTGCTGCCATTTTTTTTTGGCAATAAAAACAAATTTCATAACTATTTATAAATTTTTTTTTTCACTTTAATAGATAATTTTCATGTAAAACAAAGCTAAACAAATACTAAATTTTGATAAAAAAATAAGTTTTTTAGAAAAAATTTCATTTTTTTAAACTTTTTGGCAATGGAAACAAATTTTATAACCAATTGTAGAAAAGATATCACTTTAATGGACAATTTTTAAGTAAAACTAAGCCAAATGAACACAAAATTTAAAAATTTTTCAATCAAAAAATTATACCAATCAAACATA